AATTCATTTTAGTCCCAAACGTCAAATATACCCTTAATGAATCGTAATATATACCTCTATGCCATCCTTTCATCATCATTTTCTTAACAATAAATAAATATAGAAATCATATTCACTGATTTCCATTTTTCTCTTTCAATTTTCCAAACTTTCAATTTACTCACTTAAATTCCACTATTCCATTTTAACATGGAAAATCAACTTAATTCCACTAATCCATATTAAATTATACTGACTAAAAATATAAATATAATATTTATAACCCCATACTACCATCCTTCAAACTTTTATAAACTTTTGATTCGATCAGATTATCTGAATATTTTATCAAACTTTATCACTTAATAGCTCTTTACACAAATTCTGAATCCAAATATGACTTTCATGGAGAATCCATTCTTATGGATAAACAATTTATTTATTTAAAGAATAAAATTTCTAATTGGGAAAATCACCATCTTAGTCCCTAAACTTTTCCCAAATTTATACTTTGCTACTAAACTTTCAAAATTTATATTTTAGTCACTATTCAAATTTTGGGGCATTAAAATTATCACCCCTTTTAAGAAAATTTATCCTCGAATTTTCAACACGTATCCAATGTAAGCAAGTAAGAGCATTGCTTTTTCATCTTATCATCTTATTATTACTTGACCATATTATATTAGTGATACAGAAACTTTAGTAGCATGTAGAAACTTTTAACATATTTTAACTTCGTTTTAAGTTGAGAATTAGCTAAAACTGCAGCTATGATACCATTAAATGTAGCACCATTAACCTGCATTCGTACCCGAATATAAGTTAAGGAATTCACATTGTTTCTGTATAACAGTTACTATTCAAAAGGCAGTAAAATTTTGTTTCTTATAAAATTTACAATTTCTATCAACTATATTATCGGATAATATCACCATATAATATTTTAAATTTTCAATTCACATCCGGTTTTTAGGTTGTAGCTAGGCAATTTAACAATGTTTCATACCACAATTAAAGCTGCCTAATTTAAAAATCAACCAAATATTCTTTATAACATAATTTATTACTATATTCATACGAAACCACTTAGCAACTTACCAAACTTACCATATTTTCTCCTTTTTTATTACATTTTCTCGTATTACTTTACATTTTGGTTCAACTCTTATAATATTCTTTATCTCGCTATATATATAAAACATTTGTATTTTCTATAATCGGATTTATTCAAAACATATGTTTTGCCCTCAATTTAACTACAATTTAGATTAAGCAATTGTTATATAACTATGGGAAATATCAATTAATATAAAATTTATCTTATTATGACATTAACCACGTTCCTCTTGACATCATTCTTACCATCCTCATCCCATATTTTATTTAGAAGATATTCCTTGATCCAGTCAAACATATCTACAGAAAATGATGTTAATTACAAAATCTACTTTCGTTTTTAACTTATTTATCTCATACCTATTAAGTCGTATATATTTTAGTACAAAACATTGAACGAAAATATAGTATAGAATCATTTAATTAATTAAACAATAATTATCCTAATTATTTAATATGTGAGTAACTTATAATTCCACTTTTCATCTATAAACCATTCAGTGTTAAATTGAACTTTATGTAAAACTTTACTATCGAACATAATAATTAAACTAGTATTGTCTTTTCTTTGTGTATTATTTCTTTCTTATATTGTTTTTATTTTCTGTAATGTTCCTTTCACTATATTGTTTCCTTCACTTTACTATTTCTTTTATTATACTATTTCTATTATTGTATTGTTTCTTTTACTGATTCTTTTATTGTTCTATATTTTTTGTCAAAATAGTTTTGATAAATTCATCAATTTCACTCATGTGAAAAATTGTAGGAAAAAAAGTGAATTACATTGATAGATTTAATATTATATTAAACTCACATTCCTTTTTAATATTACAAATTAATATATATTTTAAATTTGACTATTATTATGATAATTATTCTTTGGATATTCCAAATTAAAAAGTATTTATTATCTTTTTAACATTGAATATGAAAGATAATTATAAACTTTTGAATATTTCAAATTAAAATAATATCTATTTAATTTTGAATAGTGAAAGATATCTATATCTTTGAATATTTCAAATTAAAAGATATTATTATCTGTTTAAATTTGAATATTAAAAGATATTTTATCTAAGTAAATCTCTCACGAAAATTCCCTCTAAATATTGTGCTAACCTACTAGGTTAAACACATGTATTCAAAAATTCAGAACAAATTTTGATATCTTAGAATTCAAGATTTTGAAAGAATTTTTTTTTCTCTTCCACTAGTCTTCCGGTGATAGATGAAAGCAATAATAGTTCATGATCTCCATACCTGTGCTACTGTACTTGATCACCTATTGGTTGTATCTTGAGAGACAGACGACCAACGAACTTGAGCATAAAAGGAATGGTCAAAAATATGTCTTAAGGAAATTGTCTAATTTCTTCTCGGATTGTTATATTGCGTAACAATCTTAAGACAAATTATTATCTCATTCTTTTACCTTTGTTAATACGAGATGATTTGAAAATTGTGAGAAATTTGAGATAGTAAATAAATTTGTTCTAGGATTTATCCTATCGTTTTAGCAGGTTTGCTAAAATCTCAAAGTGGACAAACTTCTTTATTAGAAATTGTCGTGAAAGTAAGTTTGGTTACTAATTTTGTTTCAGAACATTGATTATGTCCAATAAAAAATCAAAAATAAATGAGAAATAATTTTTGCTTATTAGAATTTTTGATTTCGTATTTGAAATCGATTGCGCTTAACAGAATTATTTTTTATTACTATTTATAATAGAAATTGTTTGAAAATAACAACTTTGTTACTGATTTAGTTTCTCACTAAATTTTGTTAGTAAAATAAATCAGAATTTATTTTCGGTTTATTGTTGGAATTATTATTAATTTTAATTTCATATGTTAAATGAAATCATGATTTTCGGTGGCCATGAGTTATAATGAGAAGCTTGTGAAATTCTGTGAATAGAATTTCTAGATGTTACAACATAAGATGCTGTTCTATTTAGTCTTTTTGAATTTGACCAAATATCGAACGACCCTCCTATTATTAGAGAGGATGAGGTAAACATTTTTGTCGTGTTTACTATTGTTAAAGTTTGATCTGACTTCCTATATTGGAAACACATCCTGAATGTATTATCGGATACAATATATAAGGTGTATAGTATCAATAAGATGGATAAAAGAATTGTGGATAATATTAGATCATAGATACGAAACGGAAGATATTGGTACTAATTAATTATTAGTGACCAAGTTCTTAAAATTTGTAATAATGGCATAGACTAATGAGAATAAATATTTTATTACCTCCATTGATGATAATAAAAATATTGTTGTGTTAGAGAGAAATTTATTCTTTATAAATAAGAAGTTGAAAACCAACTTAATAAAAAGATTAAAATTGTAAGAAATAATAGTGGTGGTAAAAACATTGAATCATTTGATTATTATTATCCACAATGTGATATTATTAACAGAGTAACACCATCATACTCTCCTCAATCAAATGGAGTAGCCGAAAGGAAAATCGGACTCTAAAAGAAATGATGAACACAACACTATGAAGTTCTGAGTTATTACAGAACATGTGGGGGAGAGGAAAAGCTATTCTATCAACTAATTACCTTTTAAATAAAGTTTTTCAAAAAATAACAAGACACCATATAAGTTATGGAAAGGTCAAAAACCTTCCAATAAATACTTGAAAATGTGGGCGTGTCTTGAGAAGATAATGTTCATATTACCAAAACAAATGAAAATAGGTCATAAAAGATGGAATGTATTTTCTTTGACTATCATACTATCTTAGAAGGATAGATTGATGCTAGTTGGAATTTGATATTCAGGATATCAACGGCACAAATGATGAATATGTTTCACATTAGGAGGAGAAGTCGTGTCATGGAAACCCTTAAGAAAACAATTATAACCAGATTCATAATAGAATCTGAGTTTGTAGCTCTAGATAAGAATGGAGAATAAGTTGAATGGCTTTGGAATTTCTTGGAGGATATTCTTGAAAGGCTGAAACATATGCCCACAATATGCATATACTGTGACTAGTATAGAATTTCAATATAATGGTAAGTCGAGACATATGCGTCGTCAACATAATACCATAGACAATTGATCTCAAATGGAGTTATCTTTGCTGATTTTTAAAAAAAAATCAAAGGATAACATTGTGGATTCGTTAAACAAATGGTTAAATCAAGATTAAGTTAATAAAACATCTAAAGGAATGAGACTAAAGCCCATGAAATTTAAAGGCTTTATGTGAATGAAACCCCTACCTAGTTAACTGGAGATTCCAAGATCTAAGTTCAAAGGGACAACCTAATTGCATAAATCGTGTACATTCACTATAAAGGTCTCTCATCTTAATTCTATTCCTATGATGTAAACATTGATCAAATTGGGCTAAGAAAAGCTTTTAATGACCATTGTGTGCTTCGGTGAGCCAAGCAACATAAGTCGCCTAAGTAAGAGTGAAGTAGGGTCGCTTCAAGGAGACTATTGGTCATAGTTCTTTCAAACTCTTGCAGAACTAGACGATGTTCATGGCTTTAAGGACATACCCATGAGAACTAAAATTATTGTCAAAGAGGTAGCTGTGTGAAGTATATCATCTTTTACACAAGTGGCAAAATACTTCAAAGACATCCCATCTACTTTTAGCTAGTAAAGTAAATATATTGTCATAAGGAAAGTTCAAAGGAGAACACCTACTTATCCTTTGCAACTATTCGATCATAGAATTCATCACCACATTTTGTTAAAATATTTTTGATAAAATCATCAATTTCACTCATGTGAGGGATTGTTGGAAAAAGAGTGAATTTCATTGATAGATTTAATATGTATATTAAACTCATATTCCTTTTGATTATTAAAAAATATACATTTTAAATTTGAATATTAGTATGATAATTATTCTTTGGATATATCAAATTAAAAAGTATTTATTATCTTTTTTGACATTGATTATTAAAGATAATTATATCCTTTTGAATATTTCAAATTAAAATAATATCTATTTAATTTTGAATATAAAAAGATATCTATATCTTTTGAATATTTTAAATTAAAAGATATTATTATATGTTTAAATTTGAATATTAAAAGATATTTGATTTGAGTAAATCTCTCTCGGAAATCCCCTCTAAATATTGTGCTAACCTACTAGGTTAAACACATGTATTCAAGAATTCAGAACAAGTTTTGATATCTTAGAAGTCAAGAACTTGAAAGAAAAAAAAATTCTCTTCCACTAGTCTTCAGATGATATATGAAGGCAAGGATAGTTCATTATCTCCGCAGTTGTGCTACTGTAGTTGATCATCTAGTTGTTGTATCTTGAGAGACAGACGACCAACGAACTCGAACATTAAAGGAGTGGTCAAAATTCTATCTTAAGAAAACTGTCTGATTTCGTCTCGGATTGTTATTTTGATTTACATATGTTACAGTGCTTTAAGGTGACTTATCTTGAGGTGATGAATAGTCTAAAAAATAAGACTGGAGACTTGTTGACTATTGGAAACTTATGATGTTGTGTCTTGCTTTAGTTCTTTAAAGTTTGCGTTTGCAACTAGGGAATTGATCTTGCGTCTAATGATTATGATCATCCTCCATGCATTCACCAAAATGTGATGGCTGATTGAAAGTTAAAATTTCCAATTTTATTATCTTAACCCAATCAACATCTTTGACGTTTTTCCAAATGTATACCTTGAAAGATACATTTGGGGAAGATGAGATCTTGCATGATTTTTTTACTGGAGTGAACCATCAATTTGTTTTGCATGAATGAATAACATGTTTAACAGCATGGAATTTATGAAGAGGGTGTGGATGTATTATTTCACTGTCCGTGAGTTCGAGTTCGTGAAGTGCGCACTAATATCTATCACAGAAGTTTTGTTGAATATTGGGTTTTCCTAGGCCACTAAAATTGGCCCGTTATTTGAAAAATGTTAGAATGTTTCGTTCATATTAAATTTGTGGAAGAGACAAATGATATCAATTCAGAGAAGCTTAGGAAAGATCTTGTCATATCTAGTGTGATCATATAATCAATAAAATGATTGATGTAATTAGATAGGATTTGGTTATTTTTCTTTAGATTAGGGGATTTGTGTTCATCTTAATTGTTCATGTAAATTTATTTAAATTATTGTATGGGGATTCAAATATAAATAAAGGTAGTTTATTTTATTCATTTAGTGGTGAATAAAACTCAGAACATTCACTTAAACTTTTCTCTTGTTTCGTGAGCAGCTATCTTCCTTTGTTTTTGCTTCAGCGTTCATCTAAGCATCCAAGCTTAGAAAATGACCGAGAAATGTTTTAAGACCACACGTTATACTAGACCAAAACTCTAAGGACGTCATAATTACTTTTTGTTAAATCAATTACTCATATTTCAATACTAGGTTAACATCCCTATCCAATATTATGCTACTTTTTTCCCTATTTGATGATACTTAATTTTTATTTAGCATCACATTTAAATGTTTAATTTTAGGGGAAAAACACTTTAGAAGAATAAGAAATTTTAAATTAGAGGAAATATCTTTGAAAATGATTTTTTTTATATAAAGTTAAAAATTTTAATTTTATGTTTAAAAAACAATTATTAAAAGTCAAAATTATGATTTTAATGTTTATTTGTTATCCTTAGTATGTTTATTTTTAAAATTTTATATTTCTTTGGTACATAGGATAATAGAACGACTGCGTTTTAGGGCTCCACCATCTTAAAAAAGAAATTCCCAACATATCAGCTTGCAGGGTGGAAAGTAGTTGATGAGGTGGTTCTTTGAGTTCATGCAACCCCTCAGCTTTGTCTAACGTCATTTTCGTCAATCGATTCTTTCCTTAACGCTTCGATTACCTATTTAGCGTCGGACTCTTCAATGAGCGATCTTGCTCCCAGGGATTTCGCAATCGTCGTTCCTTGTTGTAATCCCCAAACTTCAGTGGATTTGTCGATATTTAGCATGAATCCGTTGAACCATCTACAATTTTCATTCCTGATAAGACCACCCGCCGCTGCCAATCCAGAGGTCGAACTTTTATAATTGTAATAAATAATTTATCTGTAGGTTTACAACTTTTATATTGTTACTTTTTTGGATAAAAAAATTATTTTAAATTATATATTTTTTCACAAGACACGTAAAATCATTACAATTTATTTTTTTAAGAATATTTTAATGATATTTTATATACTATAAATATTAATTAATATAAATATATATATAATTACAACATGACATAAAAACACATTTTTGACATAAATGCTAAACATTCAAATTTTTAAACTATTTTTAAACTCTTCTTCAAAATATATTTTTTCATAATAAAAAATTACCTAAATTATATTTTTTTTATTTAGATGTTTAAATTTTTTCTATGTTATCCTTTTAAGTTTCTGGCTCATCACAATCATTAAAAAATTCTTTTATCTTACACATGTCTTGTTTATAAAATTTCAAAATGTTATTAAAAACTAAAACTTATAAGTTTATTTTAAAAAATTCAATTTTTTCTCAATTCTTAAAAACCCAAAATTTAAAAAAAAAAATCCTATTTTCAAATCTCTTTACCCACCTCGTCGATCTTCTTTTATTGTTATTGTCTTCGATGAACAACCACATGATCGAATCTCCAATGTCATTATCATTTTCGTCGATCTAAACCCACAAAAGAAAAATTAAATTTTAAATCCCTAAATTCTAAATATTCAAAGCCGTCGTCACCTTAGTGATTGACAGCAAGGAAGACGGCAATGATCATGATTGTGGTGACGACCGACAAGGGAGATGACAAGGTGGAATAGCATTAGGGTCAAACATTTTAGGGATTCTGGTTTTTTGAAATTTTAGAAAAAAAATAAAGGTTTTTAAAAATATAAGAATATTTTAAGCTTTTAAAAATGTTTAAGAAAATATAAACGCAACACGTATTAGATAACGGATTTTTTTAACGGTCGTTACGACGTAGATATTATAAATAATATATCGGAATCGTTAGGCATTTGCATTGATTGAAAAAAATTCGACACCTAAATGGTGAAAGAGATGTAGTTTTGACATTTTTTTTATCTTGAAAGTATTCCTTACTCGTTCCACTTATGAAATCGTTGTTCCTTTATCAGCACCAACCTCTCAATGGAAGTAGAGTGGAAAAAGATTTAAAAAGGTTGTTGGAAGAACTAAATACACTGGATCCTTTGGGAAGTTTTAAATGTCAAACTTCGCTTTAACTTGTAGATGGATAAAGAGAAAATCTACTAGAGTTAATTGATCAAAATATCTCCTTTTTTCCCATAATTTTGCTACTGGAGGAGGACATACTGCTTGTTCACATCCCAAGCTAGCATTGATTTGATTTCATTACTAGCGTGTCAAAAGCATGGTTTGAATATTTTTAAGCCTACTTTTATGTCATTGCAATTGGAGTAATCGGGGATATGATACGCAAAGACATTCTTCTAATACTCAAATAGATGAGTTTATAATGCAAATACGGATGAACGTGTTAATGCTCCAACATTATAAATCATATTTCTATATTTAGTGATCTCGAAATATGGGTGCCCTAATTTATTCAGATTTCGTGCTTATCAAAAGTTCCAAGTACTCATTGACATGGAATGAAGAAACCACCAATACAAGTGATACAACGTCGAACAAAAAAGACAGCATTTATAACAATAATTTGATTGCTACTTCCACAAGCAATCACAAGACGAAGAATTGTTACTTCCAAAGCCCATCAATATAAGCAAAATTCTCACACATTTTTGCAACACGACACTGATAAAAAGGACACATAAAATTGAAGGTGAAAGAACATACATGAAAATGAACCATGTCAATATTCAACAGCCGATGCCGGATTTCAAGACTGAGGCTTCTCCCACTTGAGGGGCTTCACAACTTCCCAGGTGAAGTCTGGGTCATCCCTTCCAAAGCGTCCATAGGCAGCTGTCTTCAAAAACTGCCCATTGCCACCCCTCTTGAGATCAAGGTTGATGGTGATCATACCAGGCCTGAAGTCAAAGTTCTCCTTTACAATTTGGAGGATTTCCTTGTCCGGAATCTTTCCGGTTCCGTAGCTGTCTACAAAGACAGACAAGGGCTCAGGCACACCAATAGCATAAGAGACTTGCACGATGCACCTTCGGGCAAGAGCATTCGCTACAATGCTCTTGGCAGCCTGCCTGACGATGTAAGCACCACTCCTATCTACCTTGGTAGGGTCCTTCCCAGAGAAAGCACCACCACCATGGGCTCCCCATCCACCGTAGGTGTCGATAATGATCTTCCGTCCTGTGAGACCTGCATCACCGTGAGAACCACCAATGACAAAGCGGCCAGATGGGTTAAGGTGGAAGATTGTCTTCTCATCAAGGTACTTCTCAGGGATGACGGGCTTGATAACATGCTCTTTGAGGTCAGAAGCAATTTCATCGTTTGTAACAGTTTCATCATGCTGGGTGGAAATGAGGACAGTGTGAACGCGAACTGGAACCATGGCACCCTTGTCATTGTAGTACTCAACAGTAACCTGGGTTTTACCGTCAGGCCTTAGCCAAGGGCAGGTGCCATTCTTCCTAACCTCAGTAAGACGTGCCCCAAGCTTAGTTGCAAGGACATGGCTAAGGGGCATCAACTCAGAGGTTTCATCGGTGGCATAACCAAACATATGGCCCTGGTCACCGGCTCCAATTTCTTCTGGGCGTTTGGTAAAGTGGCCATACACACCCTGGGCAATATCAGGGCTCTGCTGCTCGATATTGACTAGGACTTTGCAGTTGTCGGCATCAAGACCCACATCATTAGAAACAAATCCAATGGTGCGGCATGTGTCACAGACAATCTTCTCATAGTCGACATTGGCTTTGGTTGTAATCTCTCCGAAGACCATAACCATGTTGGTCTTGGTGCA